GTTGATTTTTCTGTGATTGCTTGGTGCATATTGGCTTATTTTCTTGATTGGTTGTTATCCTATATTTGACACACAAAGAGGGAAAATATCATTCCGCTGTGGTTGAGCATTTGTTATTGAGCTCAGGTTCTTTGTGTAGTTTTTCCCAACAAAGCCAATTTACAGAATTCATTCTTGTTAGCAAGCAACCTTCTTGTCCAGCTGCTTTGTTTTTGTTTCCGAGTTGAACTGTCGGTCATTCCAGAATTTTTGTTCTTGTTAGCAAGCAGCCTACCTGTCCAGCTACTTTGTTTATTTACTTCCTGTCGGCCATTCCAGATTTTTCAAGCATCGTTTTATTTCCACTGCTCAATAGGGAAGAGGAACATGGCCGAGAGTTTGGCCAGTTCAGTTCATTTTCCCTAAAGATTCACATGTTTGAAGAATTTTGTGGTTGGAAATCCTTGGTCCCAGCTCGTTTTCTACCATCCCTCCATTGGAGTTATAGATTTCAGCTCACAGATCTTCATTAGTTCTTGTGATTGGTTAGAATTTTGCATCCCAACCTTGGCAAAACTCGAATTCAGGCAGCAGGTTGTGTATATGGTTCATACGGATTTAAGTGTGTTCTTGGTGCTGGGATTTTCCATTTCGGGCAAAGAATTCAAATTTTCTCCCCTCCCCATTTTTGAAATTTTGAATTACCTAAACCGTTTTGGATAAATCAGGCCGTCACAGAAAATTCCAAGGTGCTGACTCTTAATCCATTTTGGGCAAAGTTTTGGAAAAATTCAAATTCATCCTTACTTGAATTTTGAATTTTTCAACAACCTTTTCCAGCTATATCTAGCTGCTACTAGTATTTTGCATAGCTCCTTGCATTCTGCTTTGTTTTGGCTAATATGGTGAAGAAGGAAAATGACCAGCAACGGGTCCTAGTCCCAGGAAGGTAGAATAGTGAAGTTCCGGGTAAAGCAGCTTGTAAGGATGGAAACCGGTTCAGGTTTTGATTTGCCATTGAAGATTCAGTATTATGTTACCCGACTTGGCAAAA